TGTTACGGAATTATCGTCATTAAATTATATTCGTGACAATTCCACGCATCCACGTATCCCCGTACGCGTAGCTCTCGCTGTTTCTTTCTTTAATCCACCTGTCTCAGATGGAATGCTCGCCCCTCTGCGCAGCACCCGAAATTACGCGTTCCGCGCACTCGTTCTGCGTTGAATCCTTCTTTTTCGCAGTCTGATCTCGATCGTTACCAGATCAATATCTCGTAGTCTCGCCTCGCAAACGTGTGCTCCGGAGTAAGCAACTAACGAATACAACACATATTTTCACGTTGCCTGTCAAGTGAACTCTATGATTGTAATACGCATCGCGAGTGTAGACCGAGCAAGCGCATTATATTGCGCGAACTGACTTTCATATCGACCTCTCAATTAACTATCACCTTATTGACGAGTCGTAGCGAGCCGTGACGTACAGCGATATGCGGCTAATCAAGCCTGTATTATTCACACGATAACCTGATTCTAATTATCTAATAGGCATCAATAAATTGTGAATTGTTAGTTGTTCAAACAAGAAAGTTCTCATTTACGACCGCCTGGGTGAGCGAGCCTTCCATTCCAAGGCGACATCAGCGCAAAAACGATACCAGTCACAAACAAAACAATCATATTCTGTACATCGTTAACGATATCTTGCGATTTTTTAACATTGATAATGATCTAATAAAGGTCGAAACGTCTGTTTCAATCATTAAATTTTATTAAACTTTATATTTATTTTTAACTAATGACATTTTATATTTCCTAAGACCTTTATATTTTAACGAATGTTGGCTCGTAGCCCTGTTGTTTTAATTATTTTTAAATAAAATTATTATTTTAAATATATACTACTGACTGCTGACCGATATGACGTATATTTGAAACTATCGCAGTACTATCACGAGTTAAATTGTAATATATTACCACGAAAAGTAACTGATTATTAATTATTAAAGTTGCCAATACAAAGTGAACATACGTAAAGTGTATTCGACTGTCAAGGGACATTTCGACTGCACGAGGAGCGTTGAGGGGGAAAATGCAACTTTTGGCTGATTTTCGAATCGCCTCCGTCTAAATTTCGAAGTTCCCCTCACCTCACCGCTCCGCGTGCGCAACAATGCCATTCGACTGTAATGGGGCATTTCGACTGCACGCGTAGCGGTGAGGGGGACAATGCAACTTTCGGTTGATTTTTTAATCGCCTCCGTCTAGCTTTCGCTGTCCCCCTCACAACAACGCACCGCGCATAATATATTACGACGAAAAGTAACTGTTTTACATTTATTTAATAATTTTGTTTTATAATATGCGATCGCGTTAACGAATAAAAAATAAATATGTTGTTCTAAAATTGACGCGTTAATATTAGACGGTTAGTGCTTTCACTAAGGCTGCTTTCAGCCTTGGGGATTGTTTTGATATGAAAGGACGGACGCGAGTCGCATGTCTCCCCCTCACCCGGCTCATCGATAAACCGTGCAGTCATCATTTAAATACATATTAAGTAAATTATTATTTTAAATACTACTGCTGACCGATATGACGTATATTTAAAACTATCGCGGTACTATCACGAGTCAAATTGTAATAATATTATATATTACCACGAAAAGCAACTGATTATTAATTAAAGTTGTGAGTACAGAGTGAACATACGTAAAGTGTTTGTAACTTTCGGCCGATTTTCGAATCGGCTCCTCATTCCGCTGTACCCCTCATCTCATATTAAATACATATATATATATACATGTTCAAAAATAGATCCTTGCAAATTAAAAAACCCAACAAATTTAAACCTTTGAAAATTAACCGCAAAAATTTGATCCTTCC